GGTGCTCTAACTGCCAAGTATTAGCACACAGATGTGCATATATGCAGTCCTTTTGGATTTCCGTGTTATGTTTACAGTCCATTTGAAAAAGAAGATTGTTTCTACGTATCTTCCATGTGTTTGGTGAGTTACATGAAAGGCTGCAGACTGCACCAAGTTGGCTTATTGTTCCTTGCACTGTTATGAGTAGACTAATGAAGACCATGGCTCCTTGTATAACTTTTATCTTTCTCTAAGTTTTATCTCTGAGTTTTCTCAAAGTTTAAAAAAGATGGAAATATATTATAAATTAATTTTATGTGTCCAGGATCGAAGAAAGCTGCAGCATGTACCAGTTAACAGGAGTGAAAAATACAAATACAAAGACTTCTGGGACCTGCCAGGTCTTATACAAAAGTAGTCCATAACTCTGTAATTCAGCCTATTCAGCTTCCTGGCCCACCAATCCTGTCCTCAGCATTCTAAGCCCTCTTGTCTTTCTGGTGGTAGAAAGTGTTGTCAAGTCGCAGCCAACTTATGGCAACCTTACCCAGTCATAAAATGCACATAGTCTTACATCCATTGTGAGTGGTACATACATGTTGAAATCGCTGCTCTTCTGGATGAAATACAAGGAAGCCCTGTCCTTGTTAAGTCATAATTTCCATATATTTTGCTGAGAAAAGTACTGATTTCTGTGCAAAGTACAATTAGCAAATGCCACAAGGTACATATGTTTAATACTTGAGTATCTGTATCAGTTCAACTTGACAAATGAGTACTAGCAGCCCTCCTTTTTTCCTTCTGTGGTACATACATTAAAATTGGAACAAAAAGACATTCTTTATAAATGTGTGTGGTCTTCTTAACAATTGAAATATGTGTTCTTGAACATTGGCTTCTGGGTGCAAAGCAGGAGATTAGCTCTTGCTCCTCAGAAGTTAGAATATCTTTGGACATTTCTGTGAAACTTCAGCTACACTGGGTAAAGGAGTGGTTACAGATCTTTTTTTTATGATGCAGGGAGGGCTTTATTTTTCAAGAGAAGAACGGTACAGTTCCACAGTTTGAAGTTTCAGGTGCCAAATCAAACAAATTTCTTCATTTACCATACACAAAACGGAAGGTTCAATGAGAAAAAACCTCCCCCCATTTTAATACATTTTGCTACATGGGAGACCAGTTCCCCATTGTGAAAGTGGGACAAATCGAACATGCATTACTGGAGTTGAACTTGGATTTATAACTCTTGGCTCTTCACTCTTTTTCTTTTTAAATTTTTTTTAAAATAGTAATGAACATAGAATACAGAACAAACAATGTAAAGGTCATATAAAAACAATGATATGATATCAGGAGGCAATGTAGAATCAATCAAAACATCTTACTTAGTGTAGCTTAACAGAGAAAATGGACAGGGAACTGTCAAAAGCCCGAGGAATCAGAATTACGAAAAGAAGCCCCAGAAACCAAGAAGCTCTGTCAAACAAAGGAGTCCCAACGGCCAGTCAAGTTGGAGGGTAGTTACAAATCTTAATGCAGATCTAAACTAAGTCTTTGGCCTCAAGGAGAAGTGATCTGACTCTTTATCACCTCTGTATTCAGAATAGGGTTAATCTCATTTTTTAAAATTTCTGCACCCTGGTTGATGATATGGAATAAATAACCACAGACCTTGTGTACTCATAACTGAAATAACTCAACAGTATTCCATTTAGCAGTGAGCACAATTGAATCTACATTGTAAAATCTAAGAAAGTAGGCGATGCTTGCTGGGAGAACTGCATGTTGTCTTGGAATGTACAGGTATTCTAGTCCTGAGAGAATTAAATGGACGATGTGTTTGCAGACAATCTGTCCCAGGCATGAAAGCTTTGAGAGGCCAATATGTTGTCGAAGGCTTTCACGGCTGGAGTTCATTAGTTGTTGTAGATTTTCCGGGTTGTATGGCCATGGTCTTGGCATTGTAGGACCTGACGTTTCACCAGTAGCTGTGACTGGCATCCTCAGAGGTATAACACAGAAAGACGGAGTACTCTCTGTGTCAAGGTGAGAAGAAAAATCCTCGGCAGGTAATTTATATCTACTCAGGAAGGTGGGGTAGGACTGAGTCATTATCTTGTAGGAGTTCCCCAGGCTGTGAAACATGCTAATGGAGGAGCTTTCCTGAGGAGGTTCTTTTGCATATGGATTGTTTCCTGAGGAGGTTTCTTGTTTCCTGAGAAGGTTCTTTTGCATGTGGATTGGATGTTGAAATTCTAATCTTATCTGTAGTGCTATTGTCAGATATAGAGCACTGTGTGTTTTTCAGGACAGGAAACCATGCCCTATTTATTTTTAAACTCTCTTCTTTCCTGTTGAAATTGTGTTTATGTTTATTAATTTCAATGACTTCCATGTGTAATCTGACATAGGTAACTGGATGTGTTGTCCAGCCTTTCAGTGTCGTGGAACAAAATACTGTGTCAGATCATTTGCCCCAGTGTGACAACTTGTATGTACTGGGATATTTATTATAGCACCTCTAGAGCCATTTTAGATCCTGAAAATGGTGTCGGGGAAAGACTTATATCCCTTCGCTTTGGTCCCAGCTAGTGTTTATGCTGTACTTTCAGGGATGGTTGCTGACTGACTGGCTTCAGCACAGGACTGATTAGGCAGTGGAATAAAAAGAAGGGGAAGGAAGCCATTGTTGGAGGAAGTATGGAGTTGAAGAAAGGGGGAAATATATTTTAAAAATGAGACGAACTTCATATTGGTCCTTGGGACAAGGAGAAGTGATGAGCTGTTGGCGGAAAAAGAGTGGACAGGCAAAGGAAATTTTACAGCCTGAGGTCTGTGGACCAGAGAACTAAGGACACATAGAACTGCCAAATGCCAAAGGACTTCTGTACTTTTAGGTGATGTCTGGAAGAGGAAGTTCCACAATATATACCATCTCCTGTCACTACCATGAGACCAGCCACACAATTTGAAGTCTTGAAGCGCCTTAAATAAGTCATGTTGCTAAAATGTTAAACTAGAAAATAGGTTGATATAATGCGAGAATTGCAGCTTACTTTCAGTTTCACGTAAATATGGCATTTAACACATCTTATCAGAATAGTGCTAAATTCAACAATGACACAGTGACTACAGCAGGGGTGTCAAACTCATTTGTTACAAGGGCTGGATCTGACATAAATGAAACTTTGTGGGGCCAGGCCATGCATAAAATGTAATGCCGGGTAGCAGAGAGATAAACTTTATAAA